GCGAGTCTCTGCTGCTAGAATCTTGTTAGCGGCTGTCTTTTGGGGGGGCTCTGGTTTCCCGACATTTTTGTTTTCAGCCAAAGGGAGGATATCGTGATTTTTTTCCCCCTTTGAACCCAGGCTCTGCTCTTTGGGGGGGTGGGGGGCGCGCCGAGCCGGGGAACCGTGCCAGCCGAGTCGTGCGGGCTGTGGCAGGGAAGGGGCCACCATGGGATGTACTCTGAGCGCAGAGGAGAGAGCCGCCCTGGAGCGGAGCAAGGCGATTGAGAAAAACCTCAAAGAGGATGGCATCAGCGCCGCCAAAGACGTGAAATTACTCCTGCTGGGTAAGGACCGGGCTGCCACCCCCATCCCCCGACCCCNCCCTTCGCCAGCTCCCCCACTCCATTCGCGCTCGGCGAGACCTGGTCCCCGAGTTGGCATCAACCATGTGCCAAGATCGCCCACCCTCTCGCATGCCTTACCATCCTACCCTCTACCCCTTTCCCGTGAACTGACACTCACCAGTTTCCCCCCCTGTCTGTCCCAACAGGGGCTGGAGAATCGGGAAAAAGCACCATTGTGAAGCAGATGAAGTAAGTCCCTGTGGCATTGGGATTTGTACTTTTATTAAGAATAATTTTTTATCTTTTGTATTACCTTGCTCACTCTACATTGCTCTCCAGGCCCGGTTTTTAATTCGTACACACACACACACACACACACACACACACACACACACACCTGGATTCGACTCCCCTCCCCCACTCCCTAATTTGGTTCTGGGTCCCTCACCCCAACTCCCTGGGTGGGTGTTTTCTGGGGAGGGCGGGGGAGGCACGGGAGAGCCTGTAGTTGTATGAATGACAGTGTCCGCCATATTGATCAGAACATCACACTATTGGCATGATTATGATCATTACTCTTGCTTGTGGGGTGTTTCGTGGGTATCACTGCCTCCATTTCTGTCTCCGTGTCTCTGTCTCATTCTGTCTCTCACTCCTCCTCCCTCCCCCCTCCCCCCACCCGACATCCATAATCCCATTTCCTCTGCTCTTCTGCTGGGGCAGTGATTTTGAACTTGGCTAAAACATGGAGGGGACCCAGCCCTAGATCACTGGGATGAAGGATCGAGTGTCTGCTGTTCGTGGATTTGGTGCTGAAGTGGAGGTTGTGGTTTCTGCCGCCCCCCCCCCCCCCC